TAGCCCACAAAATGTATTCATAGTAAATAAAAGTAGGTCTTTAACAGATAAAGATCACTTTTCTAAGTTCTTGTCACTGCAAAGAATAACTGATTTAAATGAGATTAGTCACAATTGGCATGCAAATAATTTATCTTCAAAGCTTCAACGTTGCCATTTTTTCTTTAAAAACAATGCCTTTTGAGCCTTTCCTCTGTTCAGGTGATTCTGAATAGGGCCTGTTTTCAGTGAGGTGTTCCGTTTTTTCTATTACAGGATTCTTCAGTGTTTATAGTATTTGCCTCTTCCTAAACTTGTTTGCCCTGCCCTGAATTCAATAATAGCGTAACAAATAAAAAACAACTTCATACACTGGAGAAAAATGTTACATTTTCTTGCTAACCTCGAGAAAAGGAAGCGGTGAAAAGATGAAACATTTTGAACAATACAACCTAATGCAGATATCCAGAATGTGCTTTCTAGAGAAATCGGGAAAGCCTGTTGCATTATGGAATACGTGAGATCCCTGTGGTCTATGTGTGAATGTAAATCACTTTCAGTTAAGCACTTACTGAAATTGCTTTATAGGGTATAGGCTAGAAATCACTGCAAGTGACACAGACACGGGCTCGAAGTGAGCCAACCTCCATGTAAGCGTGGCCTTAAGGTTAGGTGCGTGGATAAAATGAAGAGCGATGACTGGAACAAGCTGCACGAATTCTCCTAATGGAAGAACTGGATTCCTCCGCTGTTTTACATTAATACAATGGTCTACATGGCATTTCAGTTCCGTAAGCTAAGTGACACAACGCAATACAGTAATTCTCAAATGTGAAAAACTAACCTCTCAGATATCAAATAACTATGGTGTGATTCCTGTTTACTGTGAAAGATGACAAGAACTTAAAGTAAAATTCTGTGCAGAAACATGTATACCTAGCCCCGGGCACTCCTGTTGAACCAGAGATAATGTTATGGACCAGACTCGAGTATTCCAGCTAACTCCAAGCAAATACCTTTCAGATAACTCTGGGTAGCTAGCAAATTACTAGACCAATTCTGCATGTCCTAAAAATCTTGGTTATGTTAATGCTTCAATATAACCATTTAGGTTTTGTTAGAAAAGTTAATGAAACTATAATAGCCCAATGTAAAAAGAGGGAGGAAGAAATATTCAATTATATTGAATAAATGTTGAATAAAGCTAGGCTAATTACTATCCCTAAGCAGGAAGCAATTTTTCATAAATTAGGATGTTATTATTTGAAATCATCTCTGTAAATTGCCTGAACACCCAGATAAATGTACATTGATTCATAATGGCCAACCAAGTTGGTCTGAAGGTTGTGGGTTATTGTTAAGCTGATTAACATATGGCCAACCATTATATAGCATTTAATATATTCTGCACACCATACCAAATTTTTTACACACTTTAAATCATTTTATCTCAAAACAACACTACAGAGTAGAAACTATTATTATTCTCATCTTATAGGTAAAGAAACTGAGGCACATTGAGTTTAATATCTTGCTGAAAGTCACACAACTAACATTTGGGGAAATAACAATTCAAACTCAGGATATCTTGCTCCAGAATTCATGGCCTTCACCAAAAAATTTTAAAACAACAAATCATTTGCAATAGTACCCAACAGATAAGGGAATTCATCTCTCTATATAAAAATCATTACTAGCCTTAAAAATTAAAATCATGAGACTTTTCTATTTCTTATGATGTTGAAGATGTTAAACATACAGATATTGAAGAAATGCTGGAGGTTGGAGAAAAATAAAAGGGATAATTGACACAAACATTTCAGCTAAATATACACATGCCCACGCCTTCCTCCCCCTTGATTTCTCAGTATGAATGGAGCGACTTAGAAGTGCTTAACCTGGAGAATGTGCTTCTAGCACTTAGTGCTTTGACTAGCGTTGCATTTATGTAACTATCAATTCATTTATGAAGTGCTTTCCCCTAGGGTTTACTAGAAGTCAATCGGTTCTAGCCACTGAAAGAAAACCCAAATACGGAGTGGGAAAATTAGTTAATTGGGCTGCCTGCATTGCTGAATCTTCTGGTTTTAGTGGAACCTTGACTACAGCTCAAGTTATGTTTCTCCTGTCCCAAAATATATTAATCCTGGGTATTTAAAATCTTAGGAGTTTCTATATTTGAGCAACCCTAACATACAAAGGCAGGAAGCACTTAAGTATTCTGCAACCATCAAATGCAGAGCAGATCCTGGTCGATCAGACAGCTTTGCTTACTGAGTACTGACCCAGGCACTCAGCCAGCTACTGTCTGCATATATTTGTCAGAAAACCCTATAATATCTGATGGTTCTCCTAGCAGATCTGCATATACACTTAGTAAGAAATGACCATTTGAACACCAGGGGACTCCAGACTTGGAAATTCTTTGAATAGACAATGGATGGAGGAAGGTTGAGAAAGAAGAGAACTCCGATGGAAGTGGACACAAAACGACCTCATTGGTGGTATGTCCAGGGTGGATTTACCACGATCTGAAGCCTGGTCATCGGTCTCTCAAGGCCAGAAACTGGGACTTGACACTGTACACAGAATTAAGTGAGACAATTACTCTAAGTTCTCACAAAATAGATATATAATTAAGAATACTGACTTATTCATTCATCCTAGAGGATACCACTTCTAATGTCCACTTTTGCTTTTATATTTACAGCCAATAATTGAATCAGTAGGTTGACGGATGACACAGAATTAAAACAAAGCCCAAGGACTGACATGGGGCATACTGGACTCAAGCCATGATGAGGCCTAAAGAAACATTTCTGCCCACGGCAAAGAACACACTTTGCGCATGTAAGAGTGAGTACCGCAAGAGCTGAGTCATACCTTTCTTCCTGGACAATTCCGGAGTTGAAAGTCCAAAATTTCTTCTCTAAAAGGACCTTCTCTGTATAAGCCAATTCCTTTGTCTTTTAACTACATTTTTCTAAATAAGTCTACAGAATATAATTTCTATTCCCAATAGTTTTTTTTGTTTGTTTTACTCTCAAAAAGCGAACATGTTTCTATTATCTCCAAGTTCTTTGGAGACACCTTCTTAAAACCCTCATTATTCAGTCTCTATTATATGAGCTGATTTACATATAAGGTTGGGGAAGTCAAGTTTTAAGTCAAGCCCAGGTCAAGTCACAGTAGACCAATAATACCTGGGCAATGGCCATCAAAGGCTCCCCGGAGGCTAGTCAGAGTTCATGTCATTTTTATGAAATGCTTCTCTCTTTTCTTTTATCCTCACATGAGGATATGTTTTGCTATTGATTTTAGAGAAAGGAAGTGGGAGACAGAGAGAGAGAGAGAAAGAGAGAGAGAGAGAGAGAGAGAGAGAGGGAGAGAATCATCAGTGTGAGAGAGAAACATCAACTGGTGCCTCTCGTACGAGCCCTGGCCAGGGATCAAACCCAAAACCTTTTGATCACAGGACAACACTTCAACCAACTGAGCCACCTGGCCAGGGCTTGAAATGCTTCTTAATTCTCAAAACCTTTAGTTTGTCTCTCTGGATTATACATATTTCTCTGACTGACCTATAAATGCATGAGTTTTCCCCAACATCGTATTACCATTTTCTTTTTTCTTTCTACTATTTTTCAAGGGAGATTTCCTCCAGTTGTGCTGCCAAAACACCCATGAAGATGATCTGTATCTCAAGCACTAACTGCTCACAGCATCTCAAAATGGACTCTTCATATAATTTAATGAGCTCTAGGCAAAAGGAAATATGCTCAAGCCACTGGCAAAATCAAACAGTAAACAGTGGTACATGAGAAGGGTTATATGTTTGCCGTATATAAAATTCTAAGCATATAGAAAGGGCAGCAGTCCTGAGTTTACCACTGTCCCCTCTGAATATTACAGGCCTTTTAAACTTTAGAGATTACCAAGTATACCATCCCATTTTGTAAGAAAGTGACTGAAGTGTAAAGAGGTTGAGCAAATTGTCCAAAAGTCAAGAAGCTAATTATCCATGTCTTTAAACTTTTCAATTCTTTTTTAATCTCTGCATTTACCCTCAGATTCTAGAAGAAGGTTCTGAGATAGTGGGCTCCAAAATGATGCCCTCTTCCTAGAAATCTAGCTATTTTTTATTAAATTAGTCTGGGAAGTCAGGGAGAAGGAGACATTTACTAACATCTTGTTTCTGTGAATTTAAGAGGCAAAAGATGGAACTGTGCAATGAGTAAGGAGCACAAAAGAGATTGGGACAAATAATTCAATTAAGATAACAGAGCCCTTTTTAACACCATAATCCATGTGATATTTCCTGTTCTCCCAAGTTTTTAGAGTCATTAAATATTGGTACAGTTTCCCAGTCTCATCCCCACCTTTTTTCTTACCAATTCCAGACATTCCCATATCAGGTTCTTTACAAATTAATTAACAAATATAATTAAAATAAAATACTACATAGTACATACAACAAACATTAAATTTATAACCTGAAATACACATTGAAATTTCTTCGATGTTTTTAGCTACAAGACTTACTATCTGCAATCATTGATGCTTTATTTAGTTTCCTAAATGGGCCTACAAAACCTCAAGGTACCAGAATTTAGCTTCCCAAGTTTCCTAGGATTGCACTGCACACAGTAAATCTTAGATGCAGCCCGGAGCTTACGGTCGGCTCTGCCTGGGATGAGCCATTAACTATTATATTGCCCTTTCATTGGCTCTGGCTCTGCCCCCAGGTTACCTGGGCTATGAACTTTCATGTCTCAGATTCCAATAATAAATGCTACAGTACATAACTCCATCACATTACCCCCAAAGGAAGGGAACTGTGTCACTCCCATTGATGGCTGCCATTTGCTTTCTCATTTTCTCTGAGTCAGTTTCCCCTCCTGTAGGTTCTCCAATGGCCCATTCACCTGAATCGGGCCTTTGTTGCTGACTCTCTTTATATCGTCTCCTTACATCACGGTCTTACTGTGCTTCCATTTTCCAAAGGGTAGAGAAACTCCTACCTACAGTGTCGAACATCCGATGCAGCCTCGTTTACACAGTCACGCGCTGCTTACCAACAGAAACACGTTCTGAGAAAGGCGTCACTGGCAATGCGGCCACTGCGGGAACATCAGAGAAGCGCTTCCACAAACGTGGGTGGAACAGCCCACGACACCCTAGGCTGGATGCGCAGCCTGTTGCTCCTAGGCTGCCTGTAGACCATGCCGCTGGACTGGCACTGCAGGCAACCACAACATGAGGTGAGAATCTGTGTATCTAAACATAAAAAGGGTGCAGAGAAAAATGATAGGCCTGGGTAGGGCGCTTACCAGGAATGGAGCTTGCAGGCCTGGGAGTTGCCCTGGCGAGGCAGCGAGCGAGGCGAGTGAGTGTGAAGGCCTCGGGCGTGGCTATTCGCCGCGATGGACCTAACAAACACGGGCACTTACGCGGCGCTAAATTTACCCAACAACATGGGATTAAGTCAGGCACGAGGGATACAGCAAACACGAGATGCAGGAGGCTGCTCACGGCATAACACGGCACACTCTTTCGCAGCAAGCTTTGTATACGTCTGTAGATACACTATAAAATAACCAAGAGTCTAGAATTATAAAAACACACACAAGCAACATCGCTGTTCATCACCATCATCACGCGTTCTGTGCTGTGCACAGCTGCTTGCACTGTGCTTTCACACGGACAGGGGCACCGTGCGTCTGTTCACACCGGCGTCACCACAGGCATGAGTGACGCCCTGCGCTAGGTCACACCGGCTGCATCCCCGGCAGGGGCATCTTTCAGCTCCGTCGTGATCACATACAGAACCACTGTGTACAGTCTGCCACTGACCAAAACATCCTTATATGGCTCGTGACCATACAGAGATAGTTGTCAAATGACTGTTATAGTTTCATCTGGGTATAAACACACGCCCACGCACACACACACACACCAGCCTCGCCGCAGCATTATCATCTTCCACGAAATAACATTNCCCACGCACACACACACACACCAGCCTGGCCGCAGCATTATCATCTTCCACGAAATAACATTAAGGTAATACAATAAAATATTACCGAAACTCTGTCAGCTTTCTCATCTCTGCTGCAACTACACATAAGCCCCTCCGTGCCCCCATCTGCAACTGCGAGCCCTGCTTAGAGACATGAGGACCAGCTCCTGCCTGATACGTTCCCAGGCCCCGGCTGCGAGCCCTCCGTCGGAGATGAACTGCACCTAATGCAATCACCAGAATTAAAGCAGTTAAGAGAACGCAGCCGCCTGCCAAGAAAGCTCAGCCGCGCGGCGCTCCTGTTCGCTCGCTCTTCCAGAAAGTGTGCAACTAGTCCTCGTAAGTCGTTGGCTGCAGTTCCAGAAAGAGCAGCGGGAACAAAAGTGCTGACCTCGGTACATTGGTCCTCACTTTACAATCCATGAAATTCTCACTGATTGATCTACAAGGCAACGCATCCATCCATTCCATTACCGTGCTTTCCAAGGGCCTTTTAGGAACTTGCAAAATCAATATAATTCTGTAAATAAAATGAATCTCCATCAATATGACTATAAATATGATAACAGAAAAAGTTGTCATATTTTAACTGATTGTTATTTAAACCAAAAGAT